GTCTTAATGGATGGGCCTGATCAGCAATATAAAATTGTACCTAAAATCCTGCCAGTCTGAACTATTATAACAATGGAAACTCAAGAATGTATTTAAATCAATTTCTTTTTACCTCCCAAAACCAAAATTCAATAAAATTGTTAATAACATTTTCATACTAATTAGCCCATTGTATGTTTAAAAGAGCCTTGGTTTTCCTAAACACAACAGCTTTTCTTAAACCCAGAAACAAATACAGGCTATACATCCCTGATCTGAAAACCACAAATCTGGAATGCTCTGTAAGTTACATAATACTACACACAAGTGAAAACTCCCATCCCCGATTTCATGGTCACAATGCAAGTCATAGTCACAACACAAGCATGCTAAAACCAGTGTAGGAAATTAAAATTTAGCATGTGTAAAACATAAGTGGGTTTAGTGGGTTTCAGGTTTAGACATGGATCTTATCCCCAAGATATTACAGATATGCAAATAGGCCAAAATCTAGAGAAGAGATGGAAGACCCTGAAACCCAGGCAGTTCAGAGAGATGTTACAACAGCCTCACCACTCCAGAGCAGAGAACAACAGAAAGATCTGGAAACACAAACTGAAGTCGCAATTCTAAAGTCTGGGTGGCCTTTGCAAACAACTGTGTCTGTCTTCACTGAGCTGCAAGTCGAGTGACAGCAATGCCCCAGAGTCTAGAACGGGTGTATTTTCCCTGTGAAGACACCTGAGCTTTAGCACATACACTATGTATTCTCTCATGTCGCACTTTAAACTGTGTCCTTAGCCCTATGACCCAAGAGCTCTTGCTTGCTGATTGTTCACCCTGTGCCATCACTCAAGGACTGCAGGGTCTGTACCTGTCAATCCATCACGTGGTACAGCAACTAGCTCCAGATTAACAAATTTCTACTGGCTGAACAACTAAATGTGTGAACACAATTACACGGTTAAGGTGCTTTCATGGCAAGACACACTAGAAGTGTAAAGTGGGTTTTGAGTTTAGATAGGCCCCATCCTCATGCCACGGGCCCATCCCCTTCCATGTCATCTGGAATAGGGATGACTGTCTCACTCACCTCACAGGGGCACCTCACAGGGCTAGCCTGGCTGCTGCTCCAAGGCAGGAACCAAAGGAGGTCAGATAAGGAAGCACCAAGCCCCAGGCTACCCTATAAACTTTCCCACATGCCTGAAACTATTCTACTTTACTGGTTTTCCCCCTCCTCCTTTGGCATCTGGTGCTCCTTGCTTAGATATCTATCTACCTTCCAGAGCCTGCTTGAAAAGGGCTTTTGCCCTTCCCCCTCAGCTCTTGACCTTGGAACTGGCACTGCTTCTTCCAGTGTTCTTACTAACAGTGTTTACCACTGGCTAAAGAGAAAGAGGGTTTCTTCTTCCATCAGGTGACTGTAAAATGGTACCTACAGCCACTGGACTGTATGCCACCTAGCAGAGGGTGCCCATGATGCCTAAGGCCCACATCCCACAGGAGGCATCCCTATCATGTGAGCTTTGCTGTTTTTCAAGTTTCCTTTCTATCAAAGACCAAACTCTTATTTAGCTCCCTGGCAGTTACAGAGCAATCCAGGACATCAAATTCCAAAATGAGAGTCAAGTAACATAATCAGCCTTGATGTGAGATGCAATTAGGAGCTGCTGCAATGAAGTTCAGAGAACACATTTGTCAGCAGATTCGTGACTTATAATAGTTATTTCTTGTTTAGACATGGCACCAAAGGACTTATCCAAAGGCACATAATTTCATATTTAGCAAGAGGAAAATTCTCCCCCAATTATAAATATTTTATTTCTAGCCTAGCTCTAATCTTTCACCATTTCTACACACAGAAAGGAAAAACAAACAAGAACATGAGACAAAACCAAAGAATAAAATCTGCCAAGTGTTAGAGAATGAAGGTTACTTCATCAGAATAAAAAAACAAGAGACAGGAAGATGTTACCTCAGAGTTATGAGAGAGGTAAGTTTTCACCGGCATTAAGTATGTTACAGTCCTGGGAGAGGACAGTCATTATCATGTGCATATGTCTGCATGTGTGTGCGTCTACACATGCTCCTTTTGATCTGTTTATTTTTTTATTCATGAAACTTTTAGAGAAAAAATCTAGTTTGCTCAGTTCACATCGCAAACAGTTCAAGATATCCCTTATCAACAATTAGTTACTATTTAATTTGATTTTGATAATGCCACTTCTCATGAGAGCAGCCCTCCGTTTCTACCAAGTCCCTCTCCTTGAATTATAGAGAAAGTAGGATGCCTGGACCCCTGGTGTAAAATGGCTTATCAGTGCATTCTATTTGTTTAAAATGCCTGGTTGTCCAAAGCACTGCCCAGGGAGCTGATGGGAGTGCCGAGCTGTTACAGAAGAGAAAGCCTTGCTTTCAGGAATGTTCAAATGTAGGGGAAAGGAAACGAACAACACCCATGAAGCAATCGATCAAAAAGTACAGCCACTTCGATGTCTCTAAAACTGTTCCCTAAGCTAGTTAATTAATCCACACAGTGTGCCAAGCACTGTTAGAAGGGACACAGTAAGGTGCTTGGCCTAGTCTCATTTTATGTAGAAAGTTGATCAATACAGTATCAATCTGCTTCTTTTCATTTAAAAGAATTTGGATGGCAGGGCGGTCTTGCCAGGCCCCCATGGTAGAGGATGTGCTCAGTCCTGATATAACTTGATGTGCTGGGATGGGTAGGTGGGGAGGGGTAGACTCCCTTATTTTAAGGGGAGGGAAGGAGAGACACAAAAAAGAGGGAAGGAGGGTGGGATCAGGAGGAGAGGAGGGAGGGGTCTACGACTGGGGAAAATGAAAACTAGAGAACCACAGAGAAATGCAGCCTTTAAGGAAAGTATCACAATTGGCTAAATCACTCCACGCAAATCATGCCACAGGGCTGTGGTTTACAGAAATAGTCTGAGGGGTCTTGTTCCAAGAGAGTTCTTTTTCTTTGGCAATAAGATGAACCACAATATCTTTGTTTCATAATCAAATCCAAATTTTGGTGATCTCAATTGGAAGCCCAATGGGTATGTCTAGCTGGTTCCTATAACGTCTGTCTGGGCTGGATGGGAGACTGCATAGATGCAGCTCTACTCCAGTCAATGAACACTACCTACTGGCATCGCTGCCCTCCTCCTACCCACTGCTTAGCAGTAACAGAGCAATGAAAACAAATGTATACAACCATGTACCACATAGCAGGGAGATGAACACAGTCTCAACATTTATAGCTTAAGTGTTTGTCAAAATTGATAAACTGGTGTAACATTTAACTCACAACTGTCCATCAAAATGCAAACTTAAAAAAAGCTCCAGGAGCTTAGATTTCAACCACCATCATCTCAACTTAAAAAGAAACATCAAAAGCTTCGAGTAGACTCAAACTGTATGTGAAGAAATGAGTTTTAAAAGTTCCAGGCCATTACTTCCTTATTTGAGGAAAAAACAAACACTCCTTTGCATGTATTTCTAAGCTTATAGTGCTAATTTTGACTCTGTCAGTGTCTGTCAAAGGAAATTTCCTAGAATTATAATTTAGTTTAAGCATATTTAAACTTGTCAGAATATTTTTTTAAATGAACAGCTAAGGAAACAGACTCCAGAAAAATAAAATGTCATAATTACCTTCGGCCTGGTCCACAGTCGTCGCCTTCAGGCATTTCTGCCCTTTAAGAATGACAGCAGCCGCACCTGCTAGCCACAGCTAAACCAGCCAGAGAATGCTGTCTTGTCCACAACAGACTCTCTGAAGAGGGAAACCCCGGCAGGGGAATTCTTCCCTTTCTGGAGAAAAGTGTTCCTCCTCTACTCAGAAAGTTGCTGTTTACAAACTTCCAAAGTGCCTTCAATGAAGCGAGCCCTGGACTATTATGACAGCCCCCTGCTAAAAATAAAGAGGTCACCTCTCACTCCAAGCACTGTGACAGGCAGCTGGGTGGGAGTGCTGCCCAGAGCCCAGCATTTTCCCTGAAGTCGTGTGAGAAGGTGTCACCAGGGATGACTTCACCTAGCACCTGCCTGCCCTCTTTCCTTTTTTTTTTTCCTGGCAAGATCTAGGCACCTACCATAATGTGGAGTGGCCACAGGAACACTGAAACCTCACTCCAGCTATCAGATCTCCTCCTTTGAGTCACAGTGGGGAGTTGGAGGGCAGAAAGAGACAGGAGGAGAGAAGGGAGGAGGGAAAAGAACAGGGGCTGTCCCGGGAAGAGAGTGGGAGGTTTGTTTGCATAATACCTGCCACTCAGCGAAGTGTCTCTTACCCAAAAGGAGAAAAACACAAAGTCCTGGAACAATCCAGTTGTGAGGCACACCGATTTTGCAAGAAAAGGTTCCTAACTCACAGGAAGTATGCACATGAATGGACCTGTGTGTCCCTGCAACCAAAAGGTGTCCTCCCCCTCCCGGGCTTCACAGTGGCCTGAGAGGTGGCCACAGGAGCTGTAGGACTTGATACTTCAGCTCCTAGCTGTCCATTTCTCAGTTGCTCCTCCCTCCAGTGTCTTGCTTGCAAAATGCCAGAAGACTCATTTAATACTCTCTCATAAAAGCTTTGTGTTAAAACCTGAGCCCGCTTTCTTTTCCTTTTTTTTTTTTTTTTTTCTAACTAAGAACATAAGGGAAGGAAGACTCAAAGCAAGATCTAATAATGTCTTTTCCTTTGGAAGCACTATGCTCCATTTGTTGTATTAGCTAATTCTAAAACGCCTTTTAAGTGGTGTTTCACATGGCATCTTTGTTAAAAAATGGTTTTCAAGATCACTGAGGAATTAAAAGGTCAGAGAATTTTAAATCATTATCTGCTGTCTTTTGGGAGACGCTGGCCACTTTGTGAGGCATACATGCCACACTTTAAAATAGATGTACTTACTTAAATGATACAGTATTTCACACAAACAACGGCACTTCAGATACTTCAGTCCTTGGGTTTGAAGTACATATACCTAAGGTGGTAGATGCACTCAAATGCATAACTCGGATTTTTAAATACGACAAACCTTAGGAATCCACATGTCATCCTTGCACGGGTCATAGTAGTCTTCTCTGTATTATTCCATCTTTAATGTATGCCCTGCCAAAGTGAACACTCTCAAATGCATAACTTGAAAGTAAACTCACATTCAGAGTTCTGTAGAGCAAAGCAGCAGTAGCCTCGTAGAGCCAAAGCAACACGTTACACTACTAGAAACTGAGAACTGAGAAGCTAAAATGCTGAAAGCCATGATGTCAGCACTTGCATTGAACTTAGACAATACAAAATGCTGTCTCACTCAGTTCTGACCAGTATAACCTTAACTTTACCCTGTCTTTGTCCAAGCCCTCGTCTATTTTTTAAATAGCTAAAAGGACCTCTGCTTCTGGTTATCACAGATTCAGAGACCCCTGAAACTTGTCTCTCACTTCTAACAAGAATCCATTGGTTATCACTGTAGCAGTCAGAGTACAAGCTGCTACTGTGAAATAGTGAGTGACGCCTCTTTGGAGTAGAAGCCTTTGTGCATTTCCAAATTCCTTGCTCCAGATGGATTCCCCTTGACACGCTTTTGAGGCATTTTGTAAAAATCACAAAGATAAGAAGGGAAAACAAGGACAGCATAAGAACTTGAAACGACCCAAGGAAGCTCTCACCAAGATTTTCAGATGTTATCATAACCTCTGTTTACCTTGTCCTCAAATATATGTGCATTCACTTTCTCTTTGCCATTCTGTATGGCCTTAAAAACTTAGCATTTCAATGCTGTCTCCTTTCCATAGTATCTATTGCCCCTTCACTCAATGTTCAGTCTAAAGGTTTTATATTGTTGCTACATCCTCAACAGCAGCTTTGAGGGAAGCTCTGGATCCACCACGGATAACAGGACAGCCATCCCCCCTCTCCCTCCCAACACCGCTTCTCTTAGAGGTTAAAAAGAAGGGAAGTTAGTATGATATGGAAAGGATAGGAGCTGTACAAGGACCAAATATATCCGGGCACAGGGTCTTTTCTGAGACTGACACTCAACCAAGGACCATCTATGGATATAACCTAGAACTTCTGCTCGGATGTGGCCCGTGGTAGCTCAGTAACCAAGTAGTTTTCCAAAGTAAGGGGAACACGGACTATTTCTAACAGGATCTCAAGGGCAGGCTGTTTGATCCCCACCCCCCACCCCCCAGGGGAGGAGCAGTACTGTTAGGCTACAGAGGAGGACTTTGCAGCCAGCCCTGCAAAGATACCTGATAAAACAGGGTCAAATGAAAGGGGAGGAGGTCCTCCCCTATCAGTGGACTTGGAAAGGGGCAGGGAGGAGACCAGGGAGGGAGTGTGGGGTTGGGGAGGGAATGAGGGAGCGGGATACAGCTGGGACACAGAGTTAACAAAATGTAACTAAAAAGAAAAATAAAATAAAATATATAAAAAAAGAAAAAATCCAGTAATGATTCTGCTATATACTGTGAGGCTACAGCTAGGAGTCAAGGGAATCAGTCAGGGAACTGATTCACTATTGATTAATCTAATAATTACATACACTAAAATAGTTGCCCTCAAAAAAAAAAAAAGCAGTCTGAGCAATGAGGGGCAAAAAGCCGGGGCTCTTGTGGAAATGGGTGTTCTCATATTCCCTTCCAGCTTCACCAGATAGCAGAAAACCTGGCTTAGTTGTATGCATTGCCTTCCAGGGTAAAAACCAGATTACTCAACCCATTTGAGTAACATGAGGCTTCCGTGTTTACGTTCTGACTGGGAGGGTGTCAGCAAATCCACTGAAGCTCTGGGGACTTTCACTAACATCCCAGTGTACGCCTACTGCCTGCTAGAGAGAATTCAGCTGGATCTCCAGAAGCCACTTTGGGTCAGATGTGACTTGTGGAACAGGACAAGCATGGCAGCGTTCTCATGATAAAGCAGCTGCCTGCCGCGCTGGACACCGAGAGCAGCCAACAGCCATGAATAACATTTTACTTTTTGGAAATTCCAAGTGAGACAGAAATAAAATGTGTTTAATGGCACTCTTCTTTTTGAGCTACCTTTAGAGTAGTCTCTTCTTACCTATGGTTTTGTTCTCTATGCTTTCAGTTAGCCACAAAAATTCCAATGGGGAGTCCTTGGAATCAACAAATCACCAATTTTCATCTCAAGTCATCCTGTGCTGTTGTACTTTTTCTGCCCTGGCTCTCTTTTTACGCCAACATGGGGAACACCCTTTTTCAATACCAACAGTGACTAATGGTAACTAATGCTACCTGCCCATTAGTCACTTAATACGCATCTCAAGTTATCCGAGGGAACTGTACTGCTTGTATCTCAGCGACCTAACGGCCCCAAAGCATAAGATCAATGATTCTGGCAATCCAGACACACAAAAAGCAAAACATAAGCTGTTTCCTTTAAAACAATAAGGTGAAAGTTCTTGGTTTAATAAAATTTTGAAAACTATGCTAAGGTTATTGTGCTCTATAGGACATTACAAATCTGTACTGTGCCTACCTCATAAATTAAGCTTTATCCTAAGTGTGCATGGATGTTTTTCAAAAGTAGTGCATAAAGCACTAACACATGGATTCATACATCCACTGAGGTCTTGGAATGTATCCCCTACAGATGAGGACAGACCACCATACTCAACCCAAACTTAACCCTATTTCCCTAGAAGTATGAGCCTAGAGGAACATTAATCAAAATCCCTGATAATGTCACTACACTCAAATTTGGGTACTATATGTGGCTACAGGGGGAACAAGCCTTCCCTGTACATTGTGAGCCTGCTTATCCTCAAAGCCACACCTCAGCTGAGGGTGCTAGACAGCTGCTGAAGCTTCAAGGCGTCTATCACTGTCTCAGAGGCTGTAGGCAGCTCTCAATCTCTGTGTTCTCACTGTGCTGGCCCACACCTACATGGCAGTGAAACCAAACAAGAGGGCCTAGCTCAAGGAAGTAATTTCTGAGTAGCATCATTCAGTGCTAGCTCAGGCAGCTGGGGATAGGCCTGCCACCAAGTGAGAGGCAGAGGTCTTTCCAGTTGATGTGGGGCTAGATGTCCTGGCTGAGTTAGGGGGAGGCTCATTCTATTTCAGAGGCCCCATCTGTGCCCACCTCACAGTTCCTTCAGTGGTCTGCAGCCAAGTAAGCTCTGAGCACACCTCCGCACCACATTCCACTGGAGGTGTGGATTGGCTCATGGCTGGACCTGGGGTAGGTGTCACATCAGGGGATTTCCAGGGGCTTTCTTATAGGTAGAAATCTGAGCTGGTATAGCTAAAGGATTTTCTATAATCCACAAGTCCTCAATACCAAGACTGTCAGCCCTTTCCCTGGGTCTCAGAGGGAGGTCTAGAAGCCTGACTTGGATGGGAACCTTTCTTCCTCCATCTACCAGCTGGATCTCTTCTGGATCCTTCTGGATCTTCCTCGGTCATTACCAGAGTTTTCCAAAGTCCCTTCAGGGTTTTAATGCCTTTAGCATTTTACTCCCACCTACTCCTCACCCCTGCATCTCAGATCTGCTCCCCTTGTCACCTTGCAGAGCAGACCGGATCCCTCAGCCAGGGCCTTCTTAGGCGAGCACAGTGTGCCAGTCACTGCTGCCTTCTCTCTGCATTCCTTTATTGCAGTGGTAATACCTTGTGTACCTCTGTCTGGGGTGTTTGTGGCTGAGCTAGGGGAGGCCCTTAGAACAAAGAAAAACTACCTACTGACTCCACAATCCTATTGCTTGCCTCCTTCCCTTTCCTCACTCCAACCCCCACCCCATTTACCTGTGTCCTGCACGCTCTCAAATTTATAGCCTTTTTTGAATTTTTGTTACATAGAGAAAGAGAGATGCACACACTCCTAAATATATAACTACAACCTCTTCAGTCCATATAATGTTACACACACACACACACACACACACACACACACACACCCATATCTACTCATCTATTACATACATACATACATACATTCATACATACACACACACACATACATATGACTGCAGGAATAACTACTTGGTATTGGAAAACTAATCCGTGCTCTTAATAAGTGAGAAGACTTCTCCCACTCTCAGCATTCCTTAGCTGTCTGTAGCTCTTTGTTGAGGGCTGAAGTCCATCATACTCCCTAAGCCTTAGGCGCAGGAACTGTGTTGTAGATGTATCAGTCGGGACTGGGAACCACTATCTCTTATATTAGCATTCAGGGCTACAAAATGCACAGAAATGCACCATACACGACCTTGAACACTTGAGATGTAGCTAATACAAATTGAGATGTGTTGTAGAATACATGATGCTTTGCTTTTAAGATTAAATGAAAAACAGAATTTCAAGCATGTTGTTAATAATTGTTACATGATAGAGCAGTCAAGAGCACTGACTGCTCTTCCAGAGGAACCAGGTTCAAATCTCAGCACCCATATGGTAGCTCACAACTGTCTATAATTCCAAGATCTGACATCCTCACACAGACATACATGCAGGCAAAACACAAATGTACGCAAGTAAAAATAATTAATTAATTAATAATTGTTAATGGATATCGTGCTGAAAGAATTACTTTGAATATACTGGCTAATTACATATGAAAAGCAATTTCACTTGTTGCTTTTTTTTTTTAACCTTTTAAAGGTATGTCTGCTATAGATGTTGCTATTGGGTTCTATTAGAACTGGTCAAGAGCTTTAATTAGCTATCAGAATTAGTCCAAAAAGCAAAAAGTTGCAGTGAGAAGCAGGAGAGATTTCTCAGCATTTGAGAGCACATAAATGCTGCTCTTGCAGAGGACCTGGGTTAATTCCCAGCATCCACATGTCAGCTACAGCCATCTGTAAATTCAGTTCTAGTGACCCAATGTCACCCTCTGCTGGCATGGTGCATACACATACCTGCAGGCATACCACCCATAAAATAAAAAATAATAAAACAAAAGCAAAAAAGTTTAAAGTTGCAGTGCTAACACAACCTTAGCAGCTGTTTCAACAACATTCTAGAATTGCTTTTCATCCGAAGGGACAAAGTAGAGATCGCAAAACATGCCAACAAGGTGAGAGTGAGAACAGTCCACAGGACATTTCCACCCTCAATAGCTTGACTCAAAGGGTAAGAGTGGCCCTTTTCCTCCT